AAAAAAAAAAAAAAAAAAAAAAAAAAAAAGCACTTTATTTGAGTGTCAATGTATTTAGCACGAAAGTGCTAATTGGGGACACTATTTTTACGTCTCCTAGTGGAGACGGGACCGCCATTTTACGTGGTCATCCGAGCAACGCGAAGGTCTCGCCGCTGGCAGTGCAAAGGAAGTACCTTCATTTCTCAGTCATTTTAAGACCCTGAGTAATGGTCCGGCCCCGGGAATCGAACCTGCGACCTCCCGCCCTGCAGTCAGACGCTCTACCGACTGAACTAATCCTGCCACGGTTAAGCAGGTACCAGAAATATGGGAAGAATTTATATAAAAAAAATATGACTAAACTGCAGCGACGCACAAGAAACAACGATAAAGACGATATCTTTAATACTACCTAAAAATACAATAAATACCGTTAATAGAACATAACAGTACAAAACAAGGTCAGAAATTATCTTCATGCTTAAAAGTTGGAATCCATGATTCGAAATTGCTCTTTTCACACATCGCTTTCTTTTGAGCTTAAAACCAACCTGCTGTCCCACGAGACTTTTCATCCGTTCATATAAATACTTCCTATATTTCTGGTACCATTCAGAGTTCTACACGCGGTATAAGGTTGGAAAGAACCCAAAATTCATCGATGAACGGTACTCGCACTACATTTGACCGACATGGTAGACAAAAATGCGCGCGCGCTGTTTCATGGGATACGGCATTCAAATTTTCTCCCTAGCCCTCCGCAATGACGTCACCAGATCGTCTAGCTCCACCTCACAGGGTGAGATAATGATTTTAAACAATGTCGTGAGCATTATTTACTGCCGTGAAGATACTGGTGTTCTTTGTATTCTTCATATCAACATTGTAAATCAGTAGCGCGTAAGTAATACCATTATATCCCCTTTCTCCTGAAGTTCAAACTTTCGAATAAAGCTTCAAAGATTCTATGACTTTTAAGATACTAAAGCGTTTTTTTGGGATTTTCCCTAGCGCTTTTTCTTTGAAAAAATAAAATAAAAATGGGAGATCTCCTGAGTAAAATGCAGTAAAAGACAAAACATAGAAAACAAGAGGCACTAACCGGTCTCTTCCGGTTAATATATAGGAGCATGAAAGTTTTGAGCTACAGAGTTTTTAAAAAATCTAAGTAAACTGATAAACTTTAGTCTTCGTTCAACGAAGGTATTCAGTCTGCGTCCCAGTCCCTCGTGTCTGGGTTAATTGGTAAGCGCCCGTGTGTGATTTGATAATCTTCTAATAAATAATATACGATTTCAGGTGGGTTTAGACAAGTAAGCCACCGGACTGCGATATTTCTCCATCGTCGTTTTCCCGGACTATTCAGAGATCTGCCAATTTGGAAAGTCTATCATTCCCGCTAAAATGAGCGTTTAGACAGTCTCGGATGTTACTGAAGTGGGGATTTCCACCAATGTAGATGATCTATTAAGATAAGCACCACTGTTAATATTAAGTTGCGAAAATCGACACGAAATTTAGTGTAATATTATGTGAAATGTTAAATTGTCTTTTTGGATCTATCTCAGTCCAAACCTTTTCCATCCATGCTGTCTTTGACACAATTCTGAGCCGAGAATGTTTGAGAGTCATGGAGAGTCGACCAGATCTACTTACATTCAGCCGAAAGCAGGAGTCATAGGCTCCTGGCTTATTGAAGATCTAGCGGTAAGGTTACCTTCACATGGCACTGGAACCATTCAATATTTTTGCTCTGATCACTCACGAAACTGACAAACCAGGTTGAATTTTAACTTTTGTCAGAGGGTTTACCATCTGCTCATAAGCAGGTTACTTCTTAGCAAATCCAAATGGCATCTCCCAGCTAAGTTACCACGCATCCATGCAACTGCGCCTTTGCCGTACAAAATTTTAGACGGCTATTGCGTTCACACCGCTCCGGTCAAATTTATCTTTCAAAAATTTGGACGGTCATGGTGTTCACATTGCGACGGTTAAATTTGCGAGCCTACCGATTAAAAATTTGACCTCGAGTTTAGCGTTCCAGTTGTTGAACGTATACGCGTAGGCGTTCAAATTTTCGTATGGTTAGCTTAGAGTTCCGTGTGAACGAAACATCTAAACGTACGAATATTTGAGCGGTAGAAAATTTTTCCGGCACCGTGTGAACTCAGCCCCAGTCTCTTTGGCAGACTCTTACTCCTTGATAATAAAAATTTCACCTCATTATTCCTGCAAATTTCATAAACGCCAGACATTCTGGCGCCGTCCTGTACATTAAAGCTTCTAAGAGCGCTGTGAAGAGGCTGTAGATTCATTTTTTCACGGTAAAACTGGACAATTTTAAGATGATCCTGATCCACTTGCGTTTCTTTATGTACTGAATCTCCTTGAGACCTCTTCATCTCGGGTATTCGAGTTAACTATATTAGGCAAAAGAAGATAACGAGCCCTTCAGTTTTAAATATACTAAAGCTTGGAATTGTATATAATTTTTTGGTGTTGTTGTTTTGTCAGAAAAAGAAAGATTAATTTTGAAAGCAGACAAGTGATAAGAGTGCTTGATTGTATCGTAGCCTTGGCAGTCTATGCAAGAGAAAAAAAAAACAAAAAAAATTGAAAATGCAACCGTACGAAATTTAAAAAAATGAATCCAGCATCGTAAGATTTTTGTTTGTTGTTTGTTTTTTAAGAACAGCATTGTGTTACATCAAAACAAAAGTGTGATTCACACCATGACAATGTGATGCATATATAGCTTTCTCTTACAAAGCTGATTTGTTTTTATCTTTCTCTCCCTACTTCTTTTAAATTTTTTTTCTGCTCTTTTTCTTCACAAAAGAATAGTCTTGAACTATAAGACGAAAAAATCAAACCATGATATTGTAGAATGATTATTACCTTACACTCACATAGTTTTTAGCGGGTGCTGCTTTAAATTCCTTTGAAGCTTGGCTGGTATTTCTTTCTTGGCTTTTCTTTCCTTTTGTTTTCATTAAACGGAAGTAGCATAGCAACAAGATGACTCAACACGTTCCATCGTTGGGATGAGGCTACAAACCGCACTCCCTCAAACACCTGAAGATCGAGCCTACGCTATCAGTTATAAAAAGTCTTTGTGAGTATACTCGCCAAGAGAAAATCCAATTTTTTTTTGTATGGCAACGACTAGGTTACTGAAGCTACGTA